CAGCTTCTTCCCAGTATGGATTATTTTCTGGAGAGTGAAAACACTAGCTTCTTCATTTGCCACCCATTCAAAAACAGATAACGTTTTGGGGCTTGGATGTCAATCTTCAGTTAGAATCTAACGTTTCAATCTGCAGTTAGATTTCTGTCTTCGGGTGCTCTTTTATCTTTCTTTCTGCTCTTTCGGTTATTTTCACGGATTTTTCTTTTCCTGGTTGAGAAATCCTGAGTGATGGCAGCAAGGTTGCGTGCAGGGTATTGCAGATTAGCAAGTGCAGTTCAGAAGATAATGCTGTTGCTCTGGTACTACTTAAGTGGCCTCCTTGCCAGAGGGAAGAAAACTTTGGAGAATATGGGATTTTCTGTACAGTTCTCCCTGCATCTTGAGTTGGTTGGAGATCCTACGCAGTATATGGTAGAGACTGGTGCAGTTGAGCAGGGTTGTACTAGTCTGCTCTAGCTCTCACTTGAGAGAAAAAGGGCAGTGGTCAGGATGGTTGCAAAGACTTTTTTGAAGATTCCGGAAGAATCTCTTGCCCATGTTTGGGCCCTGCTGTAAAGTCTGGTGGCTTCACAAGGAGCAGGTGTGTTGTTCGGGAGACTTTGGGAAACTTTAGGGGAAGAGGATGGCTGGAATGCATTTCTTTACCAGGTGCTTAACAAGTGGTTCTTTCCTTTATAATTACTTTGATTCCTTGTTGCACTCCATATGTTTTTGCGGACCCCAAGGCCTCCTACCTGATTGGTCACATGGGATGGAGGCAGAAGCCTTGGATTCCTCAGACGTGTGCGGTACGTTAAAGCGTCTCGAAGCTCACAGTGGTGAAGCAGTGGGAGAGGAGGAGCAGTGGTGTTGTACGTGTGGTGTTCAGTAAATCCACGCTCTTCTCTGTTGTGCCCTTGGAAGCCCCTTGTTTTGGCTTTGCTAAGGGACCAGCACACAGATTCTGCCTGCCTTGTAGCTCAGCCTCCCCCAGGCTCAAAGGTTCTTGGTTCACAGGTACATTTGGCAGCTTTACCATGCTCATCCTTCAGCACTGAGAATATTTCTGTGTTCTGTGTGGGATCCCACAGTGCTGACCTAAGGCAGCTGAGTGAGGAGAGCCATGGAGATAGTTTTCCAATCATATTTTGCCTTTGCAGTAGAAAGGGAGAGTGTGGGCATGGCCTTCTGTTCATGAAAAAGGGTGTTGATCAGCTGCAAATGGCTGTAGGCAATTTCTTGTGGAAAATGAGAGGAAACTGGCAAATGACACTGTTGAGAAGTTCCGAAAATACTTTTATGCTCAGAGACTATTTGCTTCAAAGTAGGATTGGCATTGCACATCCTACCTCAAAATAGAAGTGCACTGTGGTCTGCATTGCATTATTTGCCTGACTGCATATTTTACTCCTGGAAGAGAAGTAAATGAGTGCAAGGCCTTACTTCTGCATTACCTGTTGTTCTTCATTATCCATTGCCAAAAAGATAAAGGGCATTTGTGGGTTTAAAACTCCTCGGTTGTTTGGTTTGGTTTGGTTTTTTTTGAGAGGGCATGCTTATTTTCAGAAATGAGACTTCCTTGTCCTCTCCCAACTCACTTGGTCCCATTTCTATTTTCTTCTTACCCATTTTCCCAATCCATGTGCCTTTGATGTCATCTTGTGTATCTCTGGTTTAATACGATTTTTAGGTAGAGCGGTGTTAGCTATGATGCTATGTGCTGAATGGAGCTTGTTTCTCACTTTCCATTGTGCATATGACTCGATCCAAGTGCCCAAAAAATCCTACAGCTGCCAGAGCCTGAGTGGTGTTACCTGTGCTGGTGCAGGAGTGCTACTGGATTTGTGGCAGAGTAAGTATGTAATAAACCAGGAATTGAAGGTCATGAAAGAAACGGTTTTGCACAAACCAACCCCCTGGTTTTAGTTACATGCTTAGTCCATTTCGAAGCCAACAGATGAAACCTTTTGTGAATATGCTGAATGATCCCCATTTGAGGTAGGCTTCTTTAGGCTGTGACCTCTGTTTTCTCTGCATAGGCGTTTTGCATAATAGCTCTGTAAGCTCTAGTGAAAAATCCATGACTTCATTTTCTGCTTGTTTCAAGTTGTCATCATCACATTTACGTACTTCTGTTTGGTTTCAGTGATTAACATGTGTTTGATGATACAGCTTTTCAGTGCTAAGGCCTGGAGAGTGAAGAGGAAGAAGCAGTGTGGGTGCACATCCGGATATGTTCCCTGTGTGCTGGATGCTCAGTACGAGAGCGGTGACTGGGGAACAGGGCTGGTTTGCTTGTAGGAAACATGCGGTGTGTTGCATGCAAGTGAAAGATTCACCCAAACAAAGGATCTTGGGAAGGCTAGTCAGGGGGCTGAAAGGTCAGGGCTCCCTTTGGTTTTTGGTGAAACAGGAGCTGCGGAGAGGCTCCTGCCTGCCCGTGACCCTGACAGTGAATCGGTCTGGACTAGCACAAACTGCTCTTCTTCCCCTTTCCTCCCAGCGACTGGGACTATGGTTTTACACATTTTATTTAAGCTGTTCCACCCCTGTTATACTGAACAGCCACATGCCAAATACAGTTTTTCTTGTGATCTCCCTTGACATCATTTAGGGAAGCCATTTCTTCTACCACATGTTTTTTGGCTAACTGAATTTCTAAGGCGTGTGTCACCTGCAGCTGTGAATTCATTATTGACAGCTTCTGTTCATGGCAACACTGACAAGTTAAGCCTTCCAGTCTGAATAGACAAGCAGATTCACTGTAGAGTGAATTAATCCACAGTGGATAACTGTGCAGTGACTCACTTTGCATTCACATAAAGAAACTGAACAGCTCTTTACCCTCTTCCCCAAATAAAAACCTTCGTTTTCAAACGTCATCCCCATGTCTTTAAGGCATCTTTCCAAACTTAGTGTGAGAAGACTCTGAAAATATGGCGTAGGTGAAGCCTAGATGTTTCCTTTTTCTTAATGTGCCAGGTTTTACCTCTTCCCCCAACACCTAAACAAAGATGCTTTTAAAGCCATTCTGTCTTTTCATGCCTTTAGGAGAACCACAGCACCAACAGAGGCCCCTGTATTACCTCCATTGACAAAGACTGCGATGTCTTAAAGGGAATTGGTTTGAAGGCAGGGCCCACAAGCAGTGAGGTTGGTTTGAGAGAGTGTTTATAAATCCTCAAGCATTATTAAGGGCATAGTGTCTGCAGCGTGCATAGCGCTTGATGCTCACTGAAGATTTGGCTTTGTTTTCCTGGCAGTTTCCTAAGCGTTAGGGAGTAGCTCCTTTTATTTCATTTAACGAGACCTCATCAAGCTCTCCTCTCTTGCCTACAAACTGAGAAGCAACCAATTTAAAAAACCAAAACAGCAGCAACAGTAAGCAATGAAGAAGTGCAGACTGTTAAATCTTTTTGGTAGCCCTGTATTGTCCTTGAAGCAGAGGGTACACACAAAGAACTCTGTGTTCCAAGTGGGATTGCTGTCATCCAGCTCTGTTCAGCTCAGTAAATGTTTATGAATGGTCACCGTGTTAAAACATGATGGTTGCTGTGCTGGTTTTGTCGTAGGTAGTATATGGTAGTAACTAGTTACCTAGATAGAAGTTTGGATGATAAAAATAAAGTCCATTCTAGATAAACAATTTTTCACTGACTTCTCTCCATGGCAACTGAGCTTTTCTGCTAACAGGAGTCAGACAGGTGAACCCTGTAAACTAGAAAGAAATATATTGCTTTAATCCTCTGTCCTTTAAAAACAAACATCTTAAAATATGTATAAAGCACTGTCATTAGGCCTTACTGAATGAATACAGAGTATTTAGCATTGAGCTACTAGTGTCGTTCTACCAACCTTACATTTATTATTTACTGAATAGAAGGGATATTGGGCTTTTTTCCCCTTTCCCCTTTGTATTCCTTTTTTTTGATTCTTTTTTTTCCCTCTGCTTTGCCC